AACGAAATGATGAATATTATATGTGATTCAGCTGTGCCATCATCACAATAGTTTACAGAGAACTGCACCATTAACACATTGTTACAAACATGAAGTACAATATTAAACACTGAAGCACACAATTTTTAGACACCTTATTATGCTACAATAGACGATAGTGGATACAATTACATGAAACATGGGATAATAAGGCATTGTGGTTATATAATGTGTCTGAAGACTTGTTAAGGAGAGCAACAAGTGGTAGGAAAAGGGGTGTGGTCTAGAGATTGACTGCTATGATAAATGTATGGATGGCAGTAGCATTGGGTGTTCTAGAATATCTGAACTCTGTTGTTACGATAGTCACATACATGTATAAAACCATCAACACAAGAGGTGATACAGCGTGGACCACGAAACTCTCCCTCTTTCTGACCAGACCTTCCAAATGAGGTGACAAACTGACCTGAGGTCTCATACACTACAATACAATTACCACTCAAATCAGACACATACACATACTTGTCAGCAACATGAAGACCTGATGGCCAACGCAGTTTTCCCTCTCCTTTCTGAAAAAATACTCGTATGAAATGGCCACTGGTGTCCATTACTTGCACTCTCTCATTACCAAACTCAGCTACATACATGTTCCCGGCAGTGTCAAATTTGACATCATATGGTGCATCGAATTCACCTCTTCCTTTGCCACGTGAGCCAATGGATCGGACAAAGTTCAAGTCGAGGTCAAACACCTGAATGCGATGGTTATCACGATCACACACATACACTTGATTGTCATACAGTGTCACTCCACGTGGATCATCAAACTCCCCCTCCTTACTGCCCCTCCGACCAATACATTTGATCAGTTCACCACTGCTAGTGAACTTCTGCAGCTTGTGTCACTGCTCACATAAATATTGTCAGTATCATCAGTTGCTATGCCTGCAGGGTATTCCATCTGATCTGGACTGTCACCACGTGATCCAAATGTTCGGATTTTCTGTCCTCTGATGTCAAAGATAGACACTCTATGACCCCCACATTCACTGACAATCATCTCCTGATGACTGTTGAAGGCAATGCCATATGGACGGTTCAATCCAGTCACAGTCCTCACTGGGTGGCCTAGTTGTCTGGGGTCAGGGTACACGGTCACAGTGAAGGGGCTGCCATTGATTTCTCTGTCGTTGACTTGAACATGGAGTTTGTGTTGGCCTCGACTGACTGGTGTGTACGACACCTCGTATTGGGAGGGAGACGTCATGGCAACCATACCTGTTTTTCTGGCTGTTTCTTCGACCAAGGCCACCTTGATCTAGTGGGTGTGGCTTCAGGTGTATTTGTGGGTGTGGCTTTTGAAACGAGCTCAAGTTGTGCGGTGACATTCAGTGGAAGTGAGTATGGTCTACCACTAGAGTCAGTTAGTTGGACTAGGACGTGTGTTGGTTGGTTGACTGTGGCTGATGTTAGACCAGGTCCACTGACCTGACATGTGTAAGAGTGCTGGGACAGACAGAGAGCGAAGAGTGAATAACAAGTGAAAACCTTGTGTTTGGCAAACTATAAGGCAATGTCTAACATGGCTATATATAGTTATAGCAATAGAGCTGCGAAAAGAAAACGCTACCTTATACTCGGACTTGAAGGAAAAAATCGAGTCCAGCATTGCCTAACACACACTATCTTTGAAGAATCTCCAATCGTTGTCACGTGCCCCAATGCCCCGATCGACCAACGTACAAGACTGCAAGTCAAAATGAATTCAGTGCTGATTTGAGTTCAAACAAACTGGGTTGGATCCAAAGAGTTCGTACCAGTTCAGGTGCAGAGCAATAGTGTTTGAACACAAGGATTACCCCCAAGGCTCTTCCATGGACGAGGCCAACCTGTTTAGAGATATGCAATGTGTACACCGTTCAAATTCGGTGCAGCTTTAATAGCAAACGAGCGTTACTTTCTCGCTGGTAGGCCAAGTGAGAGTCCCAGGGAAGACGTTGACAGGGACAGTGGTAAAGGGACGGGAGGTGGTAAAGGGAGGAGGGAAGGGGCTGGAGGAGTGTGACAATGGGACTTACCTTGACCGGCACCTTCCCAAACCCCAGGGGAGTCTGTGCAACATGCATATGTCATTGCATGCAATTTAGAGACCAGAAAATTCGACAACAATAATATCATCACTACAAAGTACCGAGCTCACTAAGTAAGAGATACTGAATCTGCTGCTCCTTTTCCCCAGTTGCTGCTGAAGCAGAGGCATCTCCCTGTCCTTGGCCGGCACTAACTCAGTCTCCTGCAGTCAGAAGGACCTCCAGTCACAACACACAACTCCACACACTAGACTAACTCTCTGTCTCATCTCCTGAATCTGCTGCTCCTTTTCCCCCAGTTGCTGTTGAAGCAGAGGCATCTCCCTGTCCTTAGCCTGCACTAACTCAGTCTCCTGCAGTCAGGAGGACCTCTTGTCACAACACACAACTACACACACTAGACTAACTCTCTGTCTCATCTCCTGAATCTGCTGCTGCTCTCCCCTGATAGTCTCCTCTGCCTCCTTTCTCGCCAACTCTGCTTTATTTCTCGTCAGCTCTGCTTTATTTCTTGTCGACTCTATCTCCTGCAGAAACCAAGAGAGACAATTAGTGCATAATGATTAAACACATGATGAAATTATTCACTTTTCTTGTCAGCTCATGTCTGAGTGTCTGCATCTCCCTCTTAGTTGCTTGCCAATGTTCTTCCTGTGATTATCACACAACACTTCACTGCGCCACATAATCATCTTTAAGACTCACATTACGTCTTAATTGCTGCTGCGCTGTAGCTAACTCCCTCTCTTTGGCCTGCACACGGGACTGGAGATGAGCATTCTCTGTCACCAGGTCTCGGAGAACACGCTCCAAATTCTGGTAGAATCACAAGAGTTTTTGTCAACACATCAACTCATACCTAATGAGTGTACAGTCCCTCACCTGGTTCCTGGGCTGGGTCTGAAGAGCTCGTACCAGTTCACGTTTGTTCCTCTCACTCCCTTCATCTCTAACACCAGCTCTGGCCTCCTCCAGCAGACGCAGCACCTCACGAATACCTGGCCTCTTGGAAGGGAAATTTTGCAGGCATTGCTGGATCAGCCGAATGAGAGGGTGGTCCCCACGGAGCTGGCCACAGGCACGGAGTTGCTCGTTTACGTTTCGCATGTAATGGCTGCGTCGCTGTAGTTCAGTGCGAGCTACAACCACCCCACTTTTCTCATCTGCAAAAGTTGGAGCAAGAGGATCACAGGGAAAGATTTCACCGATTGTGAAAATGGAAACAACCCCAATAGAAAAAATATCAACACTGGCGTCGTATTTCGACATTTGAATGTTGGAAGCAGCAGGAGCAGTGGCCTCTGGAGGCATATAGACTGAAGCCCCAGGTCCCGTTGTCATGATGGCTGCAGCTCTCACACGAGGAACGATACGAGCCACGCCCAGGTCCGCTATCTTGGCTACCATCTCCGAGTCCTGGAGAACGTTTCTGGCCGACAAGTCGCGGTGGATGACGGGCGGCGATCGCTCGTGGAGGTAGGCCAGACCACACGCTACGTTGTGAAGTACGGAGCACTTGAGAGCCATGGAGAGGAAAGATAGCGGTGTGACGGCGCCGGACGGAGGGGGCGGGTCCGGAGCCAGCAAGTCGTGAAGACTCGTCAGCAGTCGCTCCATGACGAGGGCTGGCAGTCGTGAGCCGGGAAAGAAGGCAACGCCAAGAAACTGGACGATGTTCGGGTGGCGGAGGGTGCTCATAAGCTGACATTCCCTCACGAACTCCGTCGATGCTTTGGCTTCTCGCAAGAAGGCGTATATTGTTTTGGCGGCGGCGCCCACAGAAACGACCACCTCCTTCACTTTGCCGTAAGCCCCACCGCCGATTTCGGTGCCAGTTCGGTGGACGTCGGAGAGAACGAAGGGCCTCAGCCCCGGATGATCGCGGAGAAACTCTTCAGCCATTAATAATATTGCCGTCCTTCAGTGCGCATGCGTGTTCAAGCCTACGCCGAACCCCGGTTGTATAATTATATAGCTGCATGATGGTGACGCAGTAGGGTTAAAAAGATCAGCGCGCCTCTGCCATTAGTAATAGAGTGACCGTTGAGTCGTTGCGTGTCAAAAATGTGTGTGCATCTTATGGACAATGTCCAGTGAGCTGATGTGCAGAAAGGTGTGAATACAGATATTGCTTGGTGTGTTATCTGGTTACAAAAAATCAAGTATTCTGTACAAAAATCGAAAGACTATTTTCTGTAAAAAATTCTGTCAGCTGAGAAGATACGTACATTCAGTAAATAATTGTGCAGAGACTGCGTCGTAGCCCTTTAACCCACACACACACACCTCTCTCTCACTCCTTCCTCAGACACTCTCCTCCAGCAGTAGCAGCAACCTCCAGTGGCTCCTCAACCAACAGTGGCCCAACTACTGATTCCACTGACTTCCCAGCTCACTCCTCCTCCTCCTCCCCTTCCCCTCATCCCTCTCCTCCCGTCAACAAAAAAGACTCAACACTTCCAACACCACAAAGTCAGTAGTACACACCTGCTTTCGTGGTCAAAACTGGAAGTTGATATCAACTGAAGCTCACGCAGCTACTTTATAACAAGCACATAAAACACAATTGGCAGTTGAACTTATGAAAAAAGGCCACCACTAAAAACATATATATAGCATTCTACCAACCACTTGTCCTGGAGTATTGCTGAAACCATAAGTCTGCTTTCTTTTCTCTTTCTTCCCTTGCATACATTTTTCATTTGCATGCATTCAGAACTGGACCTCAAGCCAAGCAGCCTCGCACAGTCTCCCTCACCAACCCTCCCTCTTCTTCTTCACTCCCCCACTCCCCTCCCTCCCTCCTCCTCCACCCTCTCCTCTCCTTCCCTCCCAACGTTCACTCTGGAGACCGGGATGAGCGTGTCTGTGACTGATTTTGGGGTCGTGCGGTTCATCGGAACCACCCAGTTCGCTAAGGGGTGTGGCTTGGAATTGAACTACAGAAACCTAGTAAGTACATATTATTGACGCCGAAGCAAGCCTATCTAGTCATCTGAATGAAAGGAGTTTTCTATATACAAGTGGAAAAATCATTTCTTCAAAATGAAAGGGGGATATAGGGATGGCTTGAAGCACCAAAAAGGAAGAAACAAGGGGTCATTACACAGCAAAGTTGCACAAAGCTACATGACACCATCCCTATATCTTTGTTTTATTGTTTATAAGCAAACTTTCCCTTGAGCTAAATATACATGCAAGACAACCTCTATTGCAGAGCCGTATAACAACAAAGATATAGGGATGGTGTCATGTAGCTTTGTGCAACTTTGCTGTGTAATGACCCCTTGTTTGTTCCTTTTTGGTGCTTCAAGCCATCCCTATATCCCCCTTTCATTTTGAAGAAATGATTTTTCCACTTGTTTCCACTATTTTTAACTGCTTATGACAACACTGCATTTTCAGTCACCTGATGTTCATGGGTATGTTGTAGAGATAACTGATGAAAGCAGTAGCTAATGGGCTGCTGCGCCTAAGCGGGGTGTACGCAGTGTCTCCAACAAGGACGCAATTAGGTTGTGGCACACGGTGGCGATTTCATGGGCAGGCTTCAGTAATCAGATTACTATTAGCTACCCGGGGACAAAGAATGAAGGCCAATTTGTACGCCCGGTAAGGCTCGCGTAACCCGGCGCAGACTGCCACCTGCAAATCAACAGCTAAAAGCAAGGTAGCCAGTTTAAATGTGTATACTGACTTACAGAAGGCGCTGGAGGATGAGAGGTCCTCTGCAGGCATCCTGGCTTTTTCTCGTGGAGCGAGACTATGTAATGCGCGCGCACCGCATTGGAAACGCCCTCCTCGGCGCATGCGGCTCACTGATGCTGAGTTAGCAGCAAAAATGGCGTTGTTCAGTGACTACCGTGGAGGAGCTCAACGATCTACCGTAGTGACTTGCGGCAAGAAAGAGACGATCGCTTGATGTCCGTGCACACCTCTGGCGAATCTGGAAACGTTTGATGGAAAAATCAGCACTTCAACTATTTTCGGTAACGAGATAGCGGGTTTACTGAAGAAGAAACCGGAAGATGAAGAATAATGATGATGATGATGATGACACGAAAATCGTGAAATCGCGTAAGAGCCAATTCTCTCGTGGGGAACTGAGGGCACGTAGGAAGTCTTGGGGAGTATGTATAGCTAGGTATTGGCCTGTAGACTATTGCTAGTGATTTTCAAGCAATGGTGAGTCTTTCTCGCCAAGTTTTGAGGCGTTTTGTACGCGGATCACGTGAGATTTCACCCGTGTCATCCCTATATAGAGCGTCTACCGACGCTCTGATTATGTGACGGGCAATATACGTCCCGTAATGTTCTACGTGATTCTAAATACGTGTGAAAACTAAAAGACATGTGTCCAGAGCCTCCATAAGTCCATATGGGGTTATAATACTAGGCGCTAATACTTTATACATTAAATTATGCTTATTTAAGAAGATACCCATGGCGTCCAAACTGTTTAAAACACTGCAGCAAAACTTTTTAACCCCTGTCCCTTTAACCCCTTCAACTCTTTCACTCTCTCTCCTCTGCAGATGGAAAGAACGATGGGTCGGTGAAGGGACATCGCTACTTTTGCTGCAAGCCTTCTCACGGACTGTTTGTCAAACCAGATAAAGCCACTCGTCGACGAATCAACTGCTCCAAGATCCTCCATAGCTCCTGCCTTGAGAACAACTCTTAACATTGTTTATGTATATGATGTCATCATTATGTAATGTATGTTGTCAACTATCGTCCAACGAATATTAGTGGAGGTGTATATATTATGTGGTGCACGGTGGCCCACATAATACCCATTTGTTGCATAATATTAAATGCACGTAATGTATACGTGTGAATTTAAAAACTGCCAGATTACTATAATATCGTGTATTTTTCAAGATCGTTGCATAGGAGAGAAATTTTTAGACAACTTAGACAGTATTATATGAGTGACTATACAGACTAATTAACACAAATAGTATAATAGCTACATGAGTCATTACAAATGAGAACAAGAGACAGACTTTACTGTGTTACAAAACATGAAATGAGGAATACGTGATTCAACTGTGAAAAAACCATTAGCACAATAAAATGGACCATTTTCGTTATATACAACCATGAAGTATAATTATTAAACAACACTACATCATAGACTACAGGTCTTACAATTACATGGAACATGGGGTAATAAGGCATATTATAATATTGTCGTTTTATACATACAATCTGTGAAGTCGGGTGAAGGAGAGTAACATGTGGTAGGGAAAGGGGTGGGGTCTAGAGATAGACTGTTATTGGATACAGTAGCTAGCATGAAATACAATAATAAACAATGCTTTTTATGTGACATTGACGATAGTGCTTACAATTACATGAAACATCAGATAATAAGGAATTGTGGTTATATAAGGAATTGTGTTAAAGGAGAGCAACAGTAGTAAGACAAACAATAATATACAAAATGTCTTCATACAATACAGTAGTATTTGGTATTCTAAAATATCTGAATTCAGTAGTTACCAAACAACAATAATTAGGGTGCGCGGAAAAGTGATTATTTTTAACAATAGCATTCTCTGTTCTGATCAATACATTACAGATGGTGTCATGATCACAATAAATCTAGAATATTTCAACTCTGTTGTTCCAATAG